GGTGTTGGCCAGAGCAGATCTACCTCCCTAGCACTTTAGAGCCGGTTGGATGCTTTGAGTGAATATCCGGAGTTTCCAGAGGGTTACAGAATCATCTTTCTGAATCATTAAGCAGACTGGTTCCCTTTCATGGGTGCATGTGTGAGAATCGGTTTGGTACGCTTTTCATGATTATGCTGTGCTCTGACCCAGTCTCTGTTCAGAAGGTATAATTTACCCTTCACCTTCAGAATTCCTTTGATGTAATATGAAAAGTTGGCAAGTCAGAAGGGAATAGGATACGTTATTCTTGAAGAAATCAGTAATGAAGGATGTGCAAGATGGTAATTGATGGCAGAACCTCTAAGAAGATCTGGCAGGGTGGGTTAAGAATGACTCAACATTTGGGTGCTAGTTCTCTGACCTCTTAAAGCCTGTAGAACCTGTAAATCTCATGGGGAAGCCGGATGCCCCTCTAGATTTCTGTTACTTCTTGCTTTTGTTCTGTCCCATTTTCTAGCGGTATTTTTACACCTCTGCTTCTGTAACACTAGCAACATGTCAGAAGCAACTTTTGTCTAATTAGAAACTAGCAGTCTATTGATGGCCACCAGCTAAGTTTTAATGGTAGAGGTCGAACTTGTGATCTGAAAGACCCAAGTTCAAGCCTTGCTAAGGACTTGTTTCATTTCCAGCCTTGGCCAGAGCCCAGAATTGCAGAAGCAGCAGAAAAAATATAGGAGGAAAAGTTAACCAAGCTACAGACTGGTCAGAATATTGTAGTCACTCTTTTGGCCCTTCTTTTCATCAGACCAGTGTCCTGCGCATCTTGCTGGTGTTTTAGCAATAGACTGTATTATCCCTCCTAGTTACAAGTTTCAATCAGGACATCTTTAATTGGTTTCAGTGCAATTAGGAACTGAACTAATTTTACCTTTGTATCTATCAAAGCTAGTTTTGAAACAGAGAGTCCCTGACTTGAAGGGGGGATTAAAACATCACCTCTAAGTACTCACAAAATCAGAAAGCAGCCGCATTTTTGAGCCAGATTTACTACAGACAAACTTTTTGAGTTCATCCTGCCTGAGAAAATCAGATTGAATCCCTGGAACAATTGGTCTTTGTTTCCTAAGCAGCACTGTGTTGATGATCCTCAGAGTAGGAGGAATTGGCACAACCAGTCAGCGTGGGCATCTCAGCTGTATCCTGGAAGTACACGGTGACAAGAATATAGACAGGGAGCAAACATGATACAGAAGCATCTTTGGGAAGGGTTGGAGGTACAACTGGGGCTATGTCTAGACTGCAGGCTTCTTTCAGAAGAAGCTTTTCCAGAAGAGATCTTCCAAAAAAACTTCTTCTGAAAGAGAGCATCTACATAGCAAAAGTGCATTGAAAAAGTGATCTCCTTTTTCGAAAGATAGCATCCATACTAAATGTACACTATCTTGCATTTAAGCTGTGATTACTATGGATGGAGTGGCCACCAGGGCACCTGTGCTTTTACCTCTTTCCTCTTCATCTGAAAGAACTCCCTCTTCCCCGTCCACACACACCTTTTTCTGAAAGAGCTCTTTTGGAAAAAAGATTCTTTCTGGTAGAAAGAGGTTTACTGATGTCGGAAAAACCCTTCTGTTCTTTTGATTTTCTTTCGAAAGAAAGCGATTTCAGTGTGGACGTAAGTGAAGTTTTTCCCTAAAAACAGCCATTTTTCCGAAAAAACTCTGCAGTGTAGTTATATCCTGGGTATCTCCAGGTTACTGCGATGACTATATAAGGCAAAACTGTGCTACACTGGGTCCTGAAGATGTCTTATGTTTCTACCTAGGGGTCTAGACAAAGCATCCTTTGTCTGCAAGGCAAAGGAAGAACTCCGCTCTGAGGAGAAATTCTAGATCTTCTGACATTTCCGGCATGGTGTGCCTTGTGCACTTTGCCCTGTGGTGTCCCATCTCTTAACTCAGAGCCCACTGTTTTTAATGGGAAATGGCAGGCAGAGGCGTTAGTGATTGGCGTGGCATTGTGAAATCAAACCAATGATAAGGTGAGCTGCGTGGGACATTTCCTGCGATCTGTTTATCCGCTACAAACCAGAATCCCGCTCCTTAGGAGCAGGCAATGTCTTTGTTCTCTAGCGCAGTGTTTCTCAATGACTGGCCCATGGATTAGTGCCTGTCTGTAAGATCTCCCTGATGCAATCTCAAGAGGCAGCAAGCTGGTCCTTGGTACCAAAAAGGTCGAGAAGCACTAGTCTAGGGCAATGCCTTCTAAACTACAGCTGACTTTAGTAGATCATTACAGACCCTGAAAATCCACTATATGGTGCATAGCTGCCGGGCGTTCTAATCAGAAAGCACAGTTCTAATGAAAAAAAGATTACGGTATAAAAATTGCCACGTTTCAGCCTTTCTCTCTCGTGTGTTAAAGTCAATAGAAAGATTAGTGCATGCTGCACTGTGAGTCAGGCTGGACTTCATCCCTCCCCATGGCACACAGCATGGACTGGCATTTCTGCAGAGGGTTTGTTTGCCTCCTGAAGCGCTGAATTCCTACTCTTATCAGAGTAAGAAGGGCACTTGCCTCTCACTCAGACAGGAATTTGGTTGTTGGACTTGTGCCCAAGCAGGAAAGTTTCCACGGAGTCTCCTTTCAAGTAGCCGGCAGGTTCACTGGACTCAGGCAAACTTATTTCCCTGGATTTCATGTCCACCTGAAAAATTGTGTGTTGGAAAATTCAACTTCTTCTTGAACATTGTTGGGTTCATGCTCTACTAAGGGGAGACTCTGGAAGGAAAGAGGGAGGGAGTGAAAATCAGTGGGGGAAAACATTGGAGGCAAAATGGACATTTTGTGAAATTGGCCTCTGCGCAGAGAAGCCAACAAAATTCATTCCCCCCCATAAACCATTACCTGGATTTACGCTGTGCACAGTCTTTGTCAGTAATGAAGGCATTCGAAATCCCCCGTCGCTTTTGAAAACGAAGGCCCTTGCCTCGCCACAAGGGACTACCCTGCTGCCTGGGGGGAGGATGTGCTGGATGCTGATAAGCTTGACTTATTTTTGTGCCCTCGGAGGGTCAGGCGAGAGGTTTGCTAACTCCTCGGCTCCGTGAGGTTTCCATCCCCAATAGTCACTCCAGCATGCTCACGCCGCAGACCTTTATCTTGTGCAAGTTGGATACTCCCCTCATGAGGGGATTCTCATGACAACAGACCCCATCGTAAGACTTCCAGGGATTGTCCTCTGCTGGTGGGCCTGCCATTTGAACGTGGCCAGCGCCTTGTAGATCACAGCCAGGTAGACTTGGAAAAACAGGTCCAGGGCTCCTCTATGAAGCAGAGATTTGTGTCATCCTATTTGCTCTTGTATGTTGTGGTGGTTAAAGACACAACATCATCTTCTTTGTCTTAGCCACTTTACAGGAACAGAGAGAGAGAGGAAGATACTCTCTATCCCAGACCAGGAGTTGTGAAATCCTGGACCCTGGATGCCAGACTGCTTGTGCAGCCTGGGACAAGTTGCTCATTTCATTGTGTCTCAGTTCCTTCTCTGTAAAATGGGGATAATGCAGCTTCCCTCCCTCCCGGAGAGGTTGTAGAGAAGAATGCATTAGTGGGTATGACACACTCACACATTACAGGGCCGTAGAACACCATCAAAACAAAACAAAAATGAACACAATGCTCCGTGGGGCTGTGACTTTCTCCATCCCACCGACAGAGGAGCCGTTGGAACAAGCACAGCTATCTGAGAGAGTTTATTCCTTTAGCTTTGAGACCCCCGCCCTGAAGTTCCTAGTAACGTGGGGATTCCAGCTGCCTGGCGGAATAGCAGCCTGCTGCAGTGGTGCTGGAACTGGTTTTGGTGGGGGGGGGGTAGGGGGCGTGCTGAGCTGCGCACCTGTTTAGACCTCTTGAGATCAGGTTGCCAACTCTCCCAGACCAGACTCCATTGCTGCAAATGGTGTCCGGTCCGTCCAGTCTGGGAGAATTGGCAACCATCACTGCCCCAAGCTGGGGCCACAGCTAGGAGCAATTGCAGAGCCCTGGGCCCTGAGGCTGGTGCAGGGCTGGCAGGCTGCAGAGCCCATGGCAGGGGCAGCAGGACCCTGAGGGCTGGCAGAGCCTGTGAGGCTGGCGGGTGATGGAACCCCGAGGACCAGCAGGACCCCGGGGAACCGGCAAAGCACATGTGGCTGGCAGGGCCTGTGGAGACCACCCAGAGGTTGGGACCCAGGGCTGGAGGAGCCAGCAACAGGGCCAGCCCCCAGGTGCGGGGAAGCTGGGTGCAAAACCCACACCCTGAGCCTGTGGCATGCTGACAAGGATCTTACTCTCAAGGCTCTCAAGATGAAGCATCCCACGATTCTCCAGGATTCTCTGAGCTGGAGCCGTTCAGAGCAGAGATTCAAATCATTGCTTGGCCTACAGCTCTCTTCCTTGTGTTCCTTTTTCTTCATGGGACAGTGGGGTCAGGACCACCCTAACGGACGAGGCAATGCTGGGTACCTGTGAGCTTTAGGTGGTTCAATCCGAATGATGGGGGCAGAATTCACTCTTGCCCCCGGAGAAGAGGAAGATAGTAAACGATTCTCATTCATCCAGGTTGTAATTGAGTTTGTAACTTGCCCATCACGGATTTGTGTTCCTTTTTCTTCATGGGACAGTGGGGTCAGGACCACCCTAACGGACGAGGCAATGCTGGGTACCTGTGAGCTTTAGGTGGTTCAATCCGAATGATGGGGGCAGAATTCACTCTTGCCCCCGGAGAAGAGGAAGATAGTAAACGATTCTCATTCATCCAGGTTGTAATTGAGTTTGTAACTTGCCCATCACGGATAATCCACTGCCCAGTGCATGCTACTCGGCATTAGCTGGGGAAAGTGGCATCCCAAGAGGGCC